TTTAGGCAGAGTCTCACTCTATTGCTCAGGCTGGAGTGCAGTGGTGTGATCTCAGCTCCCTGCAACCTCCACCTCCTGGGTTCAAGCGATTCTCCTGCCTTAGCCTCCTGAGTAGCTGGGATTACAGGCATTCACCGCTGTGTCCAGCTGATTTTTGTATTTTTAGTAGAGATGAGGTTTCACCATGTTGGACAGGCTGGTCTTGAACTAGTGACCTCAGGTGATCCACCCGCCTCAGCCTCCCGAAGTGCTGGGATTACAGGCATTCACCGCTGTGTCCAGCTGATTTTTGTATTTTTAGTAAAGATGAGGTTTCACCATGTTGGACAGGTTGGTCTTGAACTAGTGACCTCAGGTGATCTGCCCGGCTCAGTCTCCCAAAGTGCTAGGATTACAGGCATGAGGCACAGCACCGGGTCCTATCTCAAGCTTCTTAACTGCACCTGCTAAATCCCTTTTGCCATGTAAGGTAACATACTAACAGGTTTCAGAGATTAGGATGTGGACATTTTGGGGGGCTGTTTTTCTCCCTGCCATACCTGCTCTCCCGTGAATCCATGTTTAGTGGAGGACAACATTTGAGGCACTTACATGGATGCTAGGGGACATATATATGAATGTTAGGCAAAAGTCCTGCCTGAAGCTGGAAAATATCTTTTTAATATTAGTTTTTTTCACCCAATTTGATGTATGACATTATTCTATGCCACTTAAAACACATGAACTAATAAAACCAGATTTTTTTTCACCTGTGCGGTTGCTGTTCAGGAATGTAGGCTCAATGTCGTCTCACATCAGCATCTGTATGTGAGATTTTCTAATTTTTGTAACCTGATGTAAATCATAGCAGCTTTGTTGGCCAAATCCAGCCTGCTGGCCAGAAGTTTATAACTGCTGCTTTAGGATTAGTGATGTGATCCAATGACGGATCATAGTTGGGATTGGAATCCCAGATGTCTAAACTGTCTCAAATTGTAAGTAGGCATCAACCAGTCAAGTGGCAGGGGGATAAAGGAAGGGGTGCTACAGGCAAAAGGAGCAGCACGAACAAAGGCAAGATCAGTGGGAGCAGAGAAAGGAAGGCCATTTAGCAGACTGGCAAGATAGGTCTGACTATTTGTTGCAATCCTAAAGAATTTTACATAAATCTTCACATAACTAAATATTTAAGTGGGCTGGAGGCGAGGCCTTATTCTCATCCACCCAATGATGTCACCAAACACTAAATCTTGTCTCCTGAGCTCTTAAGTGGCTGACAGTTGATATTACCTTTTGTCTGACATCCAGCAGGATGTATTTTCTCCAGCATTGCAAGCAAGTCTCAAGACCCATTCTGACTAGGTCAGCTTGGGTCTTAAGTCCGCCAGTCACTATGCCTAAGGAGATGGGATGGACGGAATAGCTTAATCTAGCGCTTGATGCATACTTAAAGCTGGGGATGCAGTTCCCTTCCCTACAACCAGAGGGCTCCCCAAATGGAACTGAGTTAAGTGAGTAGGGGGAGCAGATGCTAGGACAACATAGGTAACACCTCTTGAATCCTGTTAATATGTGATCTCTGCATCCTAGAGTCAGGGACTTAATGGATAAAGGTGGTATGGACATGTTGAGAAGGTCTCATTTGAGTGAGGAATGACCCTGCTTGTTTGAGATCAGATATTTAAGGTAAAAGTTAAGCTGCTTGAACAAAAAACCCCCAGATGCAGAGGCCTTAACAAGACATGTTTTTATTTTTCTCATTTTACAGAGCTCAGTGTTGCAGAGCTGGGAGGGGGGGACTCTGGCATCTTCACAATACTTCCATTTCTGAATTCAGGTTGGCTGATCCCATGGACACCTCTCAGTCAGCAGAGAAAGGAAAAGGGCAAGGGATGTGTATTTTTGTCATGGCTTCATCTATGTCACACATCCCTTTGACTCGATTCTCACCGACCATTACAAATCATAAACCAGACAGGTGGGAGGATGGGGTCTGTAGTGGGGCGGTCATATGCCCACTTAAAACTTGTCACATTTCAGGCACGAGATTCTGGTGACTAAGTACTTTTCCTGTCCTGTCTGATCCCGAACCACATGTCAGCTGCTTCTCTCTTTGGCTTGTGCCTGCTGGCTGCTGCTAGGGTGCCCATCACTAGTTAGGTCCCATGGTGGAGGGAGTCCCTACAGCTGAGGCACCATGCTTGAAAGGGGAAAGCGGCTGTAACTGAATTTGCTGCGGGCCCTCACCTGAATTCCCCACCACAGCTCCTCTCACTGCTGACACCATGCGGGAGTAACCATCAGAACGTCTCCTACTAGGGACCTCTCCTGTCTTCCTGGTCCTTGTCTAAGGATCTTCTGGTCCCAGCAATGTTCTCAGGACACAGTGACAGCACTTCTCCAACCACTCTCCTCCCCTAAGTGGCACTTTTTGCCTGGAACTTAAATTTTTATTTTAAAAGAGGATGACCTCAAGCATCGTCCAGCTCTGAAAGGCCCCGCGATTCCAGCAGACGAGCCAGAAATGGCCCTAAGAAGTGACACGGAAACGTGAAGGAGTTTACGAAGCCCGGCCAGCTCCAACTCCTGCAGGACGCACACTCCAGCTCACACAACGGGAGCTGTCCGGGCCGTAGATCCCTCGTCGCAGTCAGAGATGATGTCCAGTAATTTCCAAAAGGGGATATTTGCTCTCACAGAAGAATCAAGAAGGAAGCCAGTGGGATTAGAGTAGCGGCGATAACTCAGCCTTCCACAAAACGGCGCCCAGCGCCGCCTGCTCCCGCACTACCGATAGTGAACGCAAGACATTTCGCACCGCCTGTTTCGAGAGCTAAGACCCGCCGCCCAGGGAAAACCTACAGACTCTCTGCGCAAGCCCTATCCCACAGCTGCGTCTGATGGTGCCGCGTGCTGGCGCTACCGGAAGACCGCCTGCCGGAGCGCGCCGGAATTTTCTCTCCCAATCTCCGGCTGGATCTCCTTTTCACTTCCGGTCCCTTTCTTTTACGTTTCCGACAAAACATGAGGCTCTGTGGGCCGTTAGAATCTTCAGTTCCTGCGAGCGTCGGCTTCGTCTGGGAACATCCCGTACTCCCGTTCACTTCCGGTCCCTTTCTTTTACGTTTCCGACAAAACATCAGGCTCTGTAGGCAGTTATAATCTTAAATTCCTGCCGGGCGCGGTGGCTCACGCCTGTAATCCCAGCTCTCAGGGAGGCAGAGGCGGGAGGATAGCTTGAGCCCAGGAGTTCGAGACCTGCCTGGGTAATATAGCGAGACCCCGTTCTCCACAAAAAGGAAGAAAAAAAAAAACAAGCAACAACAAAAAAAATCTTCAGTTCCTGTGAGCGTCGGCTTCGTCTGGGCACGTCCGGTACTCCCTTTCACTTCCGGTCCCTTTCTTTTGCGTTTCCGACAAAACATCAGTGTCTGTGGGCAGTTAGAATCTTCGGTTCCTGTGAGTGTCGGCATCTTTTGGGCGTGTGGAGTTTCTTGGACAGGGGCCGCGGGGCTCCAGGACGGCGCCCTTAGCAACACCATGGTGAGTAGGGTGGGCGGGCAGGCCGGGGGGGCGCCCAGTCCCCCCGGGGCGCTCATGGCGTAGAGGCTCAGGCGTGCAATGCTGAGGGCTTCAGGTTCTTTGGTGTAACGAGGGGATTCTCTTCCTGCCTCGTTTAGCTGTCGCAAATTGAAAAACTGGAAACTGGGGAGCCGCGTTATCGTCCTGGACAGTGTCTTAATCCCGATGAAGCTCTTTAACCTGAGGGAAACAGACACAGAGAAGCGCTAGGGCCCGCTCCGAGTTACGGTGCATAGTGTGGGCCGGCTGTTTGTCCCTAAATACCACAGAGAAGATTAAGAGCAGTTGTGACTATATGTTTCTGGGATTATTTCATTTATGTCCGTTCTCAGTCTGCTCCATAATATACAGACATCACGAGGGTAGGGTCTTTTCATTATTGCTTCCTTAATGTCTCACAGAGTCGTTGTAGATGTTCAATAACTATTGAAGAAATGAATGGCACAGACAGGAAGTGTTCTATGAGGGTATGCTCTCTGTGGTCTGGCGTCATTTGTTGTTTCTTCATTTCTTCAAGAAGCATTTACGACGTGTAAATATAAGAATGCACGTAGTGCCGGTACAAAAATGTTGATTGGTTACTGTAATATTGGCTACTGTATTATTTTCATTAAGTGAAGCCCCTGTAAGAAACACGGGGCGCCATGGTTAGGTTATATGAGATATATTGGAAGCCATTGTAGATTGATGAGCACAAGCTCCCAAGAAAAAGAGAGAAACCAGTGGAATAGAAGTAGCCATTTCGCGGGAGGCTGAGGCAGGAGAATGGTGTGAACCCGGGAGGCGGAGTTTGCAGTGAGCCGAGATCGCGCCGCTGCACTCCAGCCTGGGCGATAGAGCGAGACTCCATCTCAGAAAAAAAAAAAAGAAGAGGTAGCCGTTTCTGTGAGACGGTATGTCCCAAATTACTGCGGTGTTCGCCTATCTACCAAGCATTTGCAAAGTTTGTTTCTGTCAGTTGAAGGGGAGAGTCTCAAAGGAGACTTAAATTGAACTCAATTTTGCTGAGTGTCTGTAAACTGCATGCTTGTTGTATTTATCTCATGAAGACATCGTGACACCTCTGTGAGATGAGGTATGCACCCTATTGTAAAGATGGGGAAACTTGAGTTATAGAGAGACTACTTCTCAGAGATGGTAAGTGGAAGAACTGGGAATGTAAGTCCCTGGCTTAGCTGGGACTCTTTCTACCTAGACTACAACCCAGAAAACTCGGTCTCTGTCAGACACTGTGTTTCAGGGATAATTGAGTTGACATTTAGTGTGACAGTACTTACATAAAGCTTACTTTACGAAAGGCAGTCTTCAGACTTATTTTCCCCAAATACCACTGGCAGGGAACAGGCAATTGTGATGCTGGGTGTTAAGTGCCATGGTAAATATAATCCTTGATAGAGGACACCAGCCTAACTGGGAAGAAGGGGTCACAGAATAATGTTCTGGGTGGTCATGACACAAGTAAAATTTGAAGGAAGAATAATGCGAGTTAGCCAGATACAAGGTGTTAGGGTCAGTGGAGGAGTAAAGATTTTAAGTAGAGGGAGGCACAGCCTTGGTCACAGGATTTGGACATATTTAATTTTTGTTTATTGTTGTTCATATAGTAGTTCAAGTGGTTTGCTTGTGACTGTATTCTTGTAAAACTTTTCACTAAAAAGTAAATGGCAAGAAAAAAATATATTTTAAACGTAGGCATTTTTCTTCTCTTTTCTCTCTTTCCAGGCCCGAAATGCAGAAAAGGCCATGTAAGTATCAATTTTTTGTAACTTAATAACCACCATGTAACTCTTTTTGTATTTCTTCTTTTTGGTATCTGAGCCTTTTGAGAAGCTGTTTCTTTCTTTACATATGTTAAAAATAGCATTCCTGTTTTTGCCCATTTGTTTTTTCCGTTAATGTGTTTTCTCACAGTTTCCAGAACTTTTACACTGGATGTACATTTGTTCACCGGTGGTTGGTGCAGGAGTTGTGAGAGTGACAGCTAGAGAACACCAGGATGTTAGCCTTTTAACACCTGGATGTGTTGCTCGTCACAGTGGTCTGATAAGTAGAGTTTCCCACAGTCCTTATGTGTAGTGTAAGTAAAATATATTCTTGGGTGTTCAGGAATACAAATTGCCCGTTAATCCCTACTCCTGAGAACATGGAAATCCCTAACTACTCTGTGGTTTCTTAATTGCTATATATATATATATATGACATTAAATACGATCATAAGCAGATCTAATCCATCCAGGAACATGGGTAATGAGAAGTCTGTGTGAACAGGATCTAATGCAGTCTTTTATATCCCTGATAGGACGGCCTTAGCAAGATTTCGCCAGGCTCAGCTGGAAGAGGGAAAAGTGAAGGTTGGTGTAAATCTTCCTCATGAACTGTAAAGTATCAAGAATAAATGCAGACTGGGCGCAGTGGCTCATGCCTGTAATCCCGGTACTTTGGGAGGCTGAGGTGGGTGGATCACTTGAGTTTAGGAGTTTGAGACCAGTCTGGACAACATGGCAAAATCCCTTCTATACAAAAAATACAAGATTAGCCTAGCCAGGTATGGTGGTGCCTGCCTGTAGTCCCAGCTACTGGGGAAGCTGAGGCAGGAGGATTGCTTGAATGCAGGAGTCTTACATTGCAGTGAGCCATGATCATGCCACTGCACTCCAGCCTGGGTGACACAGTGAGAACCTGTCAAAAAAAAAAGCTGGGTGCAGTGGCTCACGCCTGTAATCCCAGCACAGTAGAGGCTGACGGGTGGATCATTTGAGGTCAGGAGTTTCAGACCAGCCTGGCCAACATGGTGAAACCCCGTCTCTACTAAAAATACAAAAATTAGCTGGGCATGGTGGCAGGCACCTGTAATCCCAGCTCTTGGGAGGCTGAGGCAGGTGAATCACTTGAGCCCTGCAGACGGAGGTTGCAGTGAGCTGAGAGCGCGCCGCTGCACTCCAGGTCAACAGACTTCAAACTTCAAAATTTCCTATTTCTTATCTGTACCTGCTGACGCTCTTGAGAGTCTGTACACTTGAATTCCAATACCTCCTCATAGCTGAGGCAGGGTGATGGATCTGCCTGCTTGTTTTTCAGTTTATTCTGTATTATGATGAGTGGGCCCCCCCCCCCTTTTTTTTTTGAGATGGACTGTCGCTCTGTCGCCCAGGCTGGAGTGCAGTGGCGTGATCTTGGCTCACTGCAACCTCCATCTTCCTGGTTCAAGCAATTCCCCTGCCTCAGCCTCCCAAGTAGCTGGAATTACAGGCACACACCACCACGCCCAGCTAATTTTTTTGTGTTTTTAGTAGAGATGGGGTTTCACCATGTTGGCCAGACTGGTCTCAAACTCCAGGCCTCAGGCAATCTGCCTGCCTCGACCTCCCAAAGTGGAGATTACTGGGATGAGCCACCGTGCCCGGCCTGATGATTGGGTCCTGTATTACTCCAGCTCTAATATTGAATAATAGGGACTGGAGTAAGTTGTGGAGAACAGCTGTAAGCTGAAACTGGTAAATGATTTCATCTCTTAGAGACTCAGCCAAATTAGAGATAATATATACCATTCTTTGGATTTTTTTTTTTAAATTTTATATGCACATGTATATGTATACACCCATATTTATGTGTGTTTGTTTTAAACACTGATAGACATTGTTTCTTAAGGTACTATAAATATGCCATGAAATAGCTATAACCTAGTTTAGCTGTCTCTCTATTGCAGGACAGTTAAGTTCTTTTCAGTACTAAATACAATGCAATGAATGTTTTTCCTAAGGAGAGATTGTAGAATGAGGTTTAAGGCTTAATGAGAATCATCTGGAATGAAAACTTCAAATATATTTAGGCCATTAGAGGATTTAGGCTTAAGGCCTGAATCAGTTGTGAATGTTGTATGAAACTTGTAAATAGTATAATGGAAATGTGTTATTTTTTTGTCCTTAGGAACGAAGACCCTTTCTGGCCTCAGAATGTACTGAGCTGCCCAAAGCTGAGAAGTGGAGACGACAGGTATGTTCTGGTAAATTTGATTTCAGTAGAAGTAACAAGTCTCTCATTTCTTCTTACTATCTAAATGACTATTAAACCAAAAGTCTAAGTATTTTTAAACACTAATTTTCAATTATAGTTTTTCTGTACTTTCTAACATATTCAAAACTCATTAAAATGTATTACTTTTTTTTAATAGATCATTGGAGAGATCTCTAAAAAAGTGGCTCAGATTCAGAATGGTAAGCAAACCTGTTCCTTTAAAGTGCTTGATTCTCAAATCCACAGTTAGACTTGAGGACTTCAACACTCCTCTCACAATAATCAGTAGAACAAGTATAGTAAATGAGTAAGGACATAGAAGAGCCAATCAATACGATCAGTCAGTTTGATGTAGTTGAAAGTTGTGGAATACTCTACCTCACAACACTGTACCTAACAAAAAAGAATACATTGTTTTTTTGTTTTTTGTGTTTTTTTTTTTTTTTTGAGACAGAGTCTCAGTCTGTCGCCCAGGCTGGAGTGCAGTGGTATGATCTCGGCTCAGTTCAAGCTCCGCCTCCTGGGTTCATGCCATTCTCCTGCCTCAGCCTCCCGAATAGCTGGGACTATAGGCGCCTGCCACCATGCCCGGCTAATTTTTTTGTACTTTTAG